CCTTTATGTACTATATCATTTTTAAGACAGGGTCTTGCTGTGTGTGTACTGTATCGCCGCGGGATTTGAAGAATAACTTTTTTAAATTTCAAATGGGAGCCTGCGGGGATATGAGAAATTTCTGACTCCACTGCTTTCCAGCTTTGTAATCCTGAACCTTGAACGAGAGTCATAAGATACTTATTGAAGTTCTAGTAAGACGTCATTCGTGCCCTGGGGTGGGGGGCAGTGAGCAATAGAAACACAAAAGTGAGATCCCCTTCCCAGTATTCGGATAAGTTTTAGTATCTGCGAACAGGCTTCCCAAAGAACTGAAAACCTACCAGTTAGAATTTAAAGGGTTTGAAACATCACCATTCCAGAACACCGAAAACTTTTGTTTTCGCTTGTTGAGACGAGGTCTTACTAGGTTGTTCAGTCTGGCCTTGGGCTGTGTAGCACAGGCTGTGGCTGAACTTTGTCAATTCGCCTACCTCAGCCTCCTGAGTGTTGGGATCGCAAGCTTGTGCCACCATTCCTGGCCACATATTCTGATACTGGGAGAGATGAGAGAGATTTGTGTGCAGGCAAAGACTTTGCCTTAATCCAGGAAGTATTATTTGTTTTTTGAGACAAGGTCTTGAAATGCAGTTCAGGCTGACTTTGAATTGACTGTCCTACTCCGTTTTGGGTTTTTTTGTTTTGTTTTGTTTTTCTCGGTATCTGGGATTGAACACAGGATCTTGCGCTTGCAGGGCAAGTGCTCACTCAGTACTGAGCTAGCTCCCCAGCCCTTACTTCTTTTTGTTTTTGTTTTTGATTTATCCCACTGTGGCTTAAACTCTTGGCCTGTCTCTAGCCTCAACCTTCCCAATGCTGGGAGTACAGGCGTGCATCACACTAGCTATTGAAAGTTTTTAAAAATGTGAATGGCCAGGCATGGTGGCACACAGGGTCTGGTGATCCTACCCCTGACATCCAAATTGCTGCAACACTGTGACCACGGGGCCGGGGAGATAGCTCAGTAGAATAAGTGCTTGTTTGGCAAGCGCAAGGGCCTGAGTTCAATCCCCGGTTCCCCCTCCCCCAAAAAAAGACTGTAACCAGGCAAGGAGGTCCCCAAAACATAGATGTGGAACCTTGACTCAGTCCACACACCGGATAGGTTTCAGGTTTACTAACTGACTTACCATCACAGAAAAATAATTTTTTTTTTAATTTTATTTTTTTGTGGAACTGGGGATTGAACTCAGGCCCTTGCGTTTGCCATGGAAGCGCTTATTCCACTGAGCCATCTCCCCAGCACCTAAATTTTTAGAACAAAGCAATGAGAGGCATAAAAAGATTTATTAGGCAGATTTACAAGTATTCTCTCACAAAAGTAGAATGTGGTCTCCAGAGAGGGTCATCAGTTTGTAGAGGAGGAAACATTTTATGTTTTTCTGCACGGCATGGGAACCTATGGAATTTGTGAATCCATAAGAAATTCCCTCTTGATTTACAGAGGAAAAGGATAACTCTACCCACAGAAAGAGAATGACAAGTTTCACAGGTGATAAGCATGAGCCCATTTTTTAAAAATGGGTGATGTAAGTAAGATGTTTGACCAAACACATTCTTCGAAAGCTCTGCAACTTATTTGAGATGAGATCTTTTTAAAAATTTATTTATTTATTTATTTATTTATTTATTTTGCAGAAGGGGGGTGCCTTGCCTCAGGCACTTGCCAGGGAAGCACTTATTCTACTGAGCCATCTCCCTGGCCTCTTGAGCTAGGATCTTGATGTATTTAGTTCATGCAGACCTTGAACTCACTAAGTAGCACAGTCTGACCTCATGCTTGGGCTCCTCCTCCATTAGCCTCCGAGTGCTGGAATCACTGTGTTCCTTTTATCATATCAGGTTCCTGCCCTTTATCAACTAAACTCATCTATGTATGTATATATGTATTTATTTATTGTATTTAGTAAGAGTCTACAGGGTCTCTCTATGTAAATGGACTCGGAGTGATCTACCTATGTTCAGCCTCCCAAAAACTGGGATTACAGTCTTGTGCCACCACGCCCAGTTGCAATCCCTGTCTCAGTGCGCCCTGGAGATGGGGCCGGCATGGCAAACTGGGGACTGAACCTCCAACCCCTGTGTCTGCCTAAACAGGCACTTTAATCCTCTCAGCTATTTGGCTCAACTCATCTGTTGATTTACATTATCTTCAAGAGGTGTGTGGTGTGTTAGGTCTAATGAAAAAAAGTATAAACAAACCTGTGGATTACAGATATGGATGAGATTGGGTAACTTTGTGTCTTAAAGTTGCAGTCTTCCTAAAAGTACAAAGTTTAAGTCAGGATTTCTTTGTTTCCTTTCTATCTTTTATTTCTTTTATACTACCTCAGGGCTAGTATTTCTAACCCTTTATTTTATTTTACCTAGAATTGTGAGTCATAGACCTTTCTCAATGCTCATAACTCCTTGTCGTCATGAGCCTCACTTAGCATATGGTGAAGTTGCGAAGATTATTTACCCTGCTGTCACTATTATGTGGTATTTTGTTGTGCTCTCTCGCTCTCGCTCTTTCTTTCTTTGTCTTTTTAAGACAGGCTTTCACTCTGTAGTTCAGGCTGGCCTTAAACTTGCAGCAGTCCTACCTCAGCCTCCCAAATGCTGGGATTATAGGAGAAGGCCGCCACACCAGGCTCAGCAGCTTTCTTTCTTTCTTGTTTTGTTTTGTTTTGTTTTGTTTTGTTTTGTTTTGTTTTGTTTGCAGAACCGGGGATTGAACTAAGGACCTTGCACTTGCCAGGCAAGCACTTATTCTACTGAGCTATCTTCCCAGCCCTCAGTAGTTTCTAAAGTGGGAAATTAGATATATTGAATTTCAGCTGGATGTTGTAGCATGTCTGTAATGCTGGTAGTTAAGGAGGCAAGAGGATTTTAAGCTTGAGCCTGGCCTGGGCAATGTAACAATTTACTGAGTCCCTGTCTCAAACAATAAGCAGCAAAAGCCAGAGATATAGTTCAGTGACACAGCACATTATGGCAAAGCAGCAAGATCCTGAGTTCCATTCCCAGTCTCAATAAATAATTAAAGAGTAGGGAGTGTGGCGCATACCTGTAATTCCAACACTCTAGAGGCTGAGCCAGGAGGATCGCCATGAGTTCCAGGCCAGCCTGAACCACAAAGTAAGACCTCTCAATAAACCAAAATAAAGGGCTGTGGCTGTGGCTCAGTGGGTTTAATCCCTAATGTATGTGTGTGTTTAATGTCTACCAAATGAAGTGGAGAACTACATATGAAGGAGCAGATACAGGAGAGATGAGTTAATTTTTCTTTTTTGTAAAACCCTTAAATTTTTAATAAATAGGAATTCATGCCTGTCAGGGACATCTATGTCAGGACAACAGAAGTAAACCTGAGTCTTGGGGAATTTTAAGGCTACATCCCCAATCATTGTCTTATTTTGAGATAGGAGCATCTCCTTTCTTTCTTTCTTTCTTTCTTTTTTTTTTTTTTAAAAATGATTGAACTCAGGACATTGCCTGGCCCAAGACAGAAACATCTCATGAACATGTGGTAATCCTCCTGCTTCAGCCTCCTGCATTGGGATCACAGGTGTGTGCCACCGTGCTGAGCCACATAGTAATTTTAAATTTTCTAGTAGGTACTTTTTTTTTTTTTGTGGAACCGGGCCCTTGTGCTTGCCAGGGAAGTGCTTATTCCACTGAACCATCTCCCTGGTCCCTCTAGTAGGTACTTCTAAACTGGGTGTGATGACACATGGCTGTAGTCCCAACACTATACTGGAATACATAAAATATCTTAAAAAAAAAAAAAAAAAAAAAAAAAAAAAAGGTCTCGCTATTTAGTTCAAGTTGGTCTTCAACTCATGAAGGAGCTGAGGGTGGCATCTTGCTCCAGATGTTCCTCTGCTCCCCTTCTGAGTACTGGGATTATCAGCAACCATCCAGCTGTAGCCACCACACCCAGCAGTACTCTTTAAAATGACCTGTAATACCAGCAGCACTCGAGAGCCTGGAGCAGGAAAGATCACCCTGAGTTCAAGGCCGGCCTGGGTTACAAAGTAAATTGAAGACCAGCCTGAACCACAAAGTGAGACCCTGTCTTTAAAAAAACAACTATTCTACACAGATTTATCATTCCAGCAATCCTACTTGGTAATCAGAATTCAGAATTACCCTGCTTGTGACTCAAGTACCCGGTGCTAGGAATCATTCAAACTTCTCAACTTATTTCACGCTTCAAACATGGCAGCCCCAAAACCAGATCGTAACTTCAGTGCCTTCTGGATCCCCCAGTGGAAAGTAAAATCCAGAAAGTATTTACTAGATGTCTGGTGAAAAGGCTACTGAGCATGCCCGGCTTGGCCAAGTCAATTCAACGTTCCACAACAAAAACTACTTCCAGCGTAATGAGGTGGAAAAGGAGGAAAACAGGCGCAAAGCCTGGGCATTCTAGCTAAAGGATGGGTTTAAGGAAAGGCAAGCTTCACGAATCAAGCAGAAGTGCATTTGCACAGCTCAAACGTGATACTCGACAAAGTAGTGCAGAGTCAGGGGGGAAAAAAAACCCACAACCTTAGATCAAAGAGAGAGGGAAGGTCAGCTAAGGATAAAAGATACCATTGAGTAACGATTTATGATGCTCTGACGATCTGGGCTGCTGGGTCATCACCAGCAGATAAGACTTCACATCCAGTTAACGCTCTGTGCAAGTGCAAGCCAAAACCAACCCGGAACGTTCGCTAAACTCTCACCTCTACCTGCAACATCTCCACCGCCATCTTCTGGATGAGAACCCAGCACCCTTCCTAAAGGGCTTTCCACAGCATCACCTCCGCGTAAAGTCCGCGAAGGCTGCGCTTCCAGGTCGCCCGGACAGCGGAAAGGGCGCTCTCCGCGCCTCCCTAGAGCACGCAAAGGGTCGCGTCTTCCCTCCCCCACCCCGTCGCAGCTTTGCAAGGTCCGGCGCGCGGGGGCCGCCAAGTGCGTTGCACGGGCCTCACCTGCAAACGCCGCGGATGCAGGGCTCCAGCCAGATGCGGTAGGCGGTCTCGATGTGCTCCTGCGACACCTCCTCTGGCCGCACGGTCTCCGCCCAGCGCCAGGCCGCCTTCTCCAGCTGCAGCCGCGGGGCCATGGCTTTGGCCCCAGGAGCGCCCCGCGAGCCGGGCCGCGCTCGCCGCCTCTGCCGCCCACACGGGCCCCGACACCTGCCAGCAAAGAGAACCAGGAGCTCCCTCAGCCAGCTGGCCAGTCAATCACCTGTGCGCGCCACTGCCGCCGCGCCCGTCCGCGCCCAACACGCACGACCGGCCGCAAAGCGCCGCGGTCTACACCCGAACACCCGCTCACCCACACCCGCCCCGCCCGCGTCAGCGGAGGGCAGAAGCGGGCTCCCCACCTCGGAGGGCGCATGCGCGTTCCCAGCAGTCCCTGCACCTCCCGCGCTGGTAACCCCGTGGTCGGAGGAAGTGGAAGCGGTTGTCCAAGGCAGGCTTGCCACGTCCTCAGCGCGGTAGCAGGGGAAGCAGCGTCTCAGCGCTTCTTCGGAGTGGCGCCGTAGGTACCACTACTCTAAAACGCAGCGCTTGGAGAGAAGCCAGGAGGCTAAGTGCTCTTGCCTGTGGTACATCCCCCTTTATATGAGGAGGATTCACGCGAGAAGCTATACAAAGCACACCATAGGTCCGCTTGGACTGTAGGGTGGGGCCTGTTTACAGTAGAAACAAAGTGGCAGAGAAACCGAGGTGGGGAAGAACTTAAGCCTAGGTCGGTTCCGACTTCTTCCCGAACACTCCTGACGTCACGGGGGCGTTCTAGGTTTACTTCTGACCTAGAACAGAACTACGTATCCCGGCATCCAGTGCATCGCGCCATTCTCGAGGTGCGAGGCATGCTGGGATATGTAGTCTTGGAGCTAGGGCTGGGGGAGCCGCAGTGCGCGCCGAGTTACACACGGATACCAGTGGGGCTGTTCTGCGTTCTTTTTCCCTGCGTTTGTTCTTTTTTTTTTTTTTTTTTTTTTTTTTTTTCTTATGGACCTTACCCTCGGCCCCCAGCTATAAATGGATTTCCTTTATGTACTATATCATTTTTAAGACAGGGTCTTGCTGTGTGTGTACTGTATCGCCGCGGGATTTGAAGAATAA